GTGGGCCCCGCTTACTGGCCCTGGCGCACGTGGCAGGACCAGGGAGCACCCTCTGATAGCACCCTTTGGTCACCCGAGAGGAGCTACCCCACTGGGGCTGTGCTGGAGGTGACATGCAGTGACAACCATGTCACCATGGGATGCAGAGAGGCTCAGGGACAGACTGGTGACAACTAGGGGGGGTTCAGACACAGGGACCCCCCAGTGTAGCCCACGCTGGAGCAGGGCAGGACAGGCACAAGCCAAGGATGTTCCTCCTTCTCCATCCCCCTGAGCAGGGAGGGGTGGTCCCTGTGGCCACCATTTGGGACTCTGGGCCACCACACTGCCACCCTGGGTGCTTTCTCTGTGGCTGAGAACAACAGACTTGTGACACCTGTGACCCAGCACAGTGTGGAGGCTGCCAGTCAGCTCCAGCCCCAGGCTGGGCTGTGGGATGGGAGCCCTGGGAATTCTGTGCATCCCTCAGCCAGCAGCACCCACACCCAAGGCCCCTCTGGATCCCTGGTCTCCCTGTCCCCCCCCACCTGGGCAGTGACTCACGGAAACCAAGGCTCTAAAACCCCAGGATTTACACCAAAACAAATCCTACAACTTCCCGCACACCGGGAGGAAGGACAAACGGCCTGGATTGTCCCACACCCACAGCCCAGCCCGTGGCCCTGAGCCCCCCCCATGGGCAGCCAGTGCCTGGCAGGCTCCTGGCTGGAGCGGGTGGGAGCTCTGCTCTGGGGATGGAGGCATGGCACAGGAGCCGGCAGTGGCTCAGTGCCACGGAGGAGCAGTTGGGCACAACGTGTTCCAGCATTCACACCTCGCATCCTCACCGGCTGCCCGGCTAATTCCGGCACATTCTCCTTGGCTGCCGCTCAGCAGCGCCGATGGCAGAGGAGATTTTGGGGAAGGGGGAGGTGAGTGCTGGTGCAGCTGCTGAGAGGGACAGGCCTTGGGGAGCCTCGTGGCTGTCCTTGGGGACCCTCAAACTGCTCTGGCTCCCTGGCCCCAGCCAGCCAGGGAAGAGGAGAGACTGGCCAGGGACCCTGCTCAGGTGGGCAGGAGTGGGTGGGATATCTCCTGGATGGATTTGGGATAGCTCTGGAATGCACATCGCTGCCCACAGCCCTGCTCCCATGAGCACACCAGCATGTCATGGCATGGCACAGGATGCCCACTGAGTTCCCCAGAGTGCTGCTGCCAGGGAAGCACATGGCAGACACTCACACGTGCTGTGCACTGCAGCCTCTCTGGGCGCTGCACGGCACAGAATGGGGTCTGGACTCCTCCGGCCGGGAGAGGATGCACCTACTCCAAAGGAAACTTTGGCATGGCCCACGCCAGGCTCTGTCCCCCAGCCCCGCTCGGTGCCCTGCTCCCATGCCATGCCCCACCATGGGCTCATGGCACAGCCCCACCAGTGCTGTGTCCCCACCAGTGGTGTCCCGGGACCCGCAGCACTGACCTGTGCAGGTGCAGGGGCTGCAGCTCCTCTTTCTGGAAGCAGACGAAGCAGAAGGAATCCATCGCTCTGCTCCAGTGGCCGCCGTGCCCGGGCTCGGGGGACCGCAGGGCACGCAGTGCCGGAGGGGTGTTGGCATCTTCCTTGCCGGCGCCGGCGGTGG